GATGTACCTTCACCTCTGAAAGCAGAATTTCCAATATTTCATGTCCTCAGACTATCAAGTCAGTAATATTTAAATTAAGAGATTATTCCACCAATGCATGACTGTTTTGTGTAGGAACAACACGACATGGATTTAATGTATGCTTTTATCTGCGCAATAAAGTAGAACCTTGACCCTTTGCATGAATGCCCCACGTGTTAACAAATTGAGGCAAAAAAAAAAAAAAAAAAAAAATGAAAAAAAGGAAGAAAAAATGCTGTTTAAATTCAAATTGACTAGGATGATATAGAAATTAATTGATAATCTATAAACATTTTCTTAAATCAAGTAATGAAATTTTAATATTTACAACATGGCACGAAACTACATTTAAGAAGGAATCATCAAAATATAAAACAAATAAACAAATAAAATCCTCGACTCTTTTTGGCAGTTCACATTGCCATTATCACGCTAGTGCTCATGGCATTTTTTGATATCCATTTTTTGATATACCTTCATCACCTGCATACGGGGTATATATCTCTCAGTTGATTCGATACGCAAGAGCATGCTCTATGTATGTACATTTTCTAAAACGAGGTAAATTATTGACAAATAAGTTGATGAAACAAGAATATCAGCTGTCTCGTCTAAAGTCATCATTTCGTAAGTTCTATGGTCGATACAATGACCTTGTCAGCAAATACAATTTATCATTGAGTCAAATGCTGACTGACGTTTTTCATACTAATTGTTAGGCCATTATTTACACACTGACTTGTCGACGGATTTTTCCGTTATTTCCCGATCATGACAAGGAGCACACGGCGGGTGTAACCGGTCGGCAGGGGGTGCTCACTCCTCCATGGCACCTGATCCCACCTCTGATGTTTGGAGGTCCGTGTTTGCTCTGCTCCTATTTTGTATTGTATAATGGACTTTTGAGCTTGAATACTGTTCGTTATCTCCATATATTTCATCCAAAAAGTATATTCATGAATGTGATTTATAAGACCGTGGAATACATATGAATCACTCAATACTTTACGTTAAATGTTTGTTTTTTGAGAAGAATTTGATTTACATTTGAGGGATTAAATAGAGAATAATACATGGCAAAATCTGTATCACATCCGATATCACCCCGAGGCTCCAATATCAGCCCGAGAGCCGAAGGCCATAGACTGATATTGGTCGAGGGTTGACATGGGGTGTGATACAGGTTTTGTCATGTATTGTTGTTTTTATTATATATTTGAAAATGGTGTCTAAAAATCATATATAAACTTGTAAATTAATTACTGAATTTTTAATAATTGAATGTGTTCTGTTTTGGTTGAATTTGCCTTTCTCATTATTTTTCCCCAAAGGTAATGCTTTCAGCGATAAGAAATTAAATAATTATAAATTAATCAAATAATCGTTTTGAATAACATGAAAAGTCTGATGAAATAAAATTACAATTTTAATAAACTTCATAAACAAATAGAAAAAGATCCGAGGTACTCCGAATGAAAAAATACAGAGATGTTCCGGAAAGGTGTAATAAATGGTGTGATAAAGGGTGAAATTAAGGGTGCCTGATACAGGGTGTGTAATATAGGGCGCGTGCCTGTGTTCATATCAGGGATGCCAAAATCCTGTATTATATAACAAATATATAAGACTTTTTTACATGAAGAAGATGACAATATAAACACATAGTCCAGAGGAATTGTTTATAAAAAGGCATGCTTTTACAGAAATTATAAGTAAATTATAATTTTTATTATTAGTAAACACACTTCAGTGCAAAACTTGATTCGATTAAATTTAAAATGTTAATTAAAACCACGGTGAAAGAAACGAACTGTGATTTATCTAATAAATCGTAAAAACTTTAAAAATAAGAATATAGCAAAATTACGGACACCTAGAAACAATAGAGGAGGGAATTGGAGCCTGGAAGGAATCAACATTAAGGTTGCGCCATGGTATTTAATTTTGTTATATATTCTTACCAAAAATGCACATTCTTGAGTAGGCAGTATAAATTCAAAACAAAGTTTTGAGAGTATTTCTTTTCAGATTTGAAAAATAATTCCTTATATATATTTTGAAACCGATATATATATATATATATATATATATATATATATATATATATATATATATATATATATATATATATATATATATATATATATATATATATATATATATATAATTCAAAAGTAGTTAAAAGATGTTATTATACCTCTGTGAATTTTTTCTATATAAAAATATGACGAATAATCATGCTATTTTTTCTAAACAGTCCCTACCGTGAAATAGTTTTTGTGCTATTTGCCCATGGTGAAATAGTCATCAAACTATTTACCGGCAGCATTCTGTTTCCCTCGCTTTTCATCTCGGAACTCTTCTGGTTTTATCCAGATTGTGACGGATAGATTGTGCCGTAACACAAGTAAAGTTAGCTTTGGTATAATAAAACACCTATTTACTGACTATTCGGACAATAGCAAGTTTATCGTCCCCCTCTACAGCAACTATTTCCCTCGGCTGCGCCTCGGGAAATAGTTGCTGTCTTGGGGGACGATAAACTTGCTATTGTCCTCATAGCCAGTAAATAGGTGTATAATGTCACACAGTAAAAATAATCATAAAAGAAAAAGAAAATGCACAGTTTCCAAATGTCATTTAACACAAGTGCTTTCTGGATTTAACAATCCGTCTTCAGGTGTACATACTTTGAACTGATTTGCTTGGTAACGTTAACTATGACGTTATGACGTCATGAGGGTCTTTGCAGGGAAGGAAGAAATCAATGACGTCATAGTATCTAGTGTTACGTAAAAGTTAGGGAAATTTGAATTAAACAATAAATCATGATTTCCTCAGTCTCAATAAACAAAGTATAAAGAAATTAATTATACAAAAAAGACATGAACTTATCAAAATATTAATGTTTGTTCAGTTTTGGTGAAAATAGATTTATAAAGAAGTTCTCTTTTACTATTCTCATTACGGCTGAATCGTTCCTAAGTTTATAAAATGGAAAGACATTTTGCCAAATGTTCACTGCATGGAGTGTTTCTGATGCTCGGATTATTGATTTGCTGGCGGTGGACGCGCATGCAGGTGGTTAACTGGGATCCGGTTTGACCGATGTATTCCTCTCCGCAGTTGCTACAAGTTATACAATAAAGAAGATTTTTGGTTTTACACGACATGTTTTCATTTACATGTTTTTCCACGCTTGAAAATAATAGAGGATGAATTAAGTCCGATTTCTGTATAAGTTGTTGCAGATCATTGTCCCGTTCAATGATTGTAAAGTTCTTTTTCGCCTCTTGAAATATATTAATATGTTTTGGATTATATGCTGTTACAAAAGGGATTAAGAAGGGATCTTTGTCCTTTTTTCTGGTTGTTCTTAAGATGTGTTGCGGGATTTTCTTGGATTCTTCTATGGCAGAAAGGATAAGATTATATATATCCATCCTGCATGACACGCAAGCTTGTCGATCGAAGTCGAACAAGTGCTTGAACATCAAGTGCAGGACCTAATCGCTAAATTTTTTAAATAAATAAATAAATACAGGACGTTTTCTAGTTTTTCATCTCATAAAAAATCCCGACCCAGTCTAGGGCAAAAATGCCCGAATCGGAGGGGATATTCAGACATTATTTTGCTTCAGTCATGTTTTGACGTGAAAAACTGTTATGACACCTGCACTGTCGATATATCAAATTGTAGAACTGAAGACCACAGCAAACGTTTTTCTCTTTCCGTGTAAAATTTTTTTTTTTTTTTTTTTTTTTTGAGTAACTGCTTCATCAAAAGCAGGTCGGCTAATAAAGGAGCACAAGTTTTATAAATGGGAATTCCAAAAGATTGTTGAAAGACCTGTCCTTTTACTGGACTCTGCTACTGCAGATTCCTAAATATACGTGAGGAATTCATTATATCGCGTTATTTCGCGAGAAGCACCAATCGCGAAATAAAATTACTCGCTTTTATTTTTAGGGTGCTGTTATCCATGTAATATCTCTTGATCAACCATCAACTCGCGAATTATTTTTAAGTACTCGCCTAAAATAAGGAATCTACAGTATGCATATGCATTTGTTTGCAAGGATTTTTGTAAATTTTTGGGATCCAGTATAGATATAATTACTCAAATTAACCGCTTCTGTTGACTAAAATGCTATAGTATTTAAAACTGAAATATGATTTTGAATAATTTAATCTTCTGAAAGTGAACTGAGACTATAGGTAGGTATACAAGATGTAAATTTAAACTCTCTTTTTAAAGACAATTTCATTAATAAGTCTTAAACAAAGAATATGTTGTTTCAAACTTTGTCAGTTGAAACCATTACATATTGTTCCACTAGTCTGTCTTAATTAAAACATATAATCATGTTCCCAAAACGAAGTTTAAACGAATTAAACCATGTATTTGTAATGAAATTTATAGTAATGACTAAAAGTGTCAATATTCTAAATACTTGAAAATAAACTTAGGGTATTCATATAATTGAAATGAAAAAAAAAGAACACAACAGAAAATGTCAAATTATTGCTATTTGATATTATTTTGGAAAAAAATGAAAACTATAACTGTGATATTTATTTTGTACTTATAGCATTTTTCACAATTTTTTATGAATTTTTCTTGTTTCAAAAGGAAATTTATTTATTCAGAATAATATATCAAATTTCACATTGAGAATTTATCTCCTTTTGAATTTTCCCTTTTTTCAAATTAATCATAACAATAGTAAAATCTACAGAAAAGTTCAATTTTTAGAAAATAAAATAGAGAAAAAAATAGCTGAACCTCAGTAATACTCTCTCTCTCTCTCTCTCTCTCTCTCTCTCTCTCAAGTAATACGACATTACGTTTCGTGGTTGTTGTTATCTCCACATGACAGAGATATGTGTTGAATGACTGACCTTTGCAAGATAATTTATTTCAAAGATATATAAGTGAAAAGAGGTATACAATTTAATCATTGTTCGCAGAGACAAGTGAAACAAAGATCACCATGAAGGCTATTTTCATTCTTGCAGTTGTTGTTGTTGCAGGTATGAATGTTTTCTTTGATAAACATTTACACAATAGGTACATCAACTGTTTTGCATTCAGTATTTTGACTGGCTTATGTACTGATGTTTGAGACAGTCAAACGAGTGAAAGCTTTTGATCGTGACGTCATAAAAGAGTAACACAAAAATACAATGTTTTGTGACGCATTTCATAATTTTAGAAGGAAAACATTTCGAAATAAGATGTTAACATCAAATCAAGTTTATAAACCGCATAATAAGTGGAAAAACTGTTTTCTCATTTGTTATTTGTCACCGTGAATGCTGATTTTTACTCAGTTTCCGACTGTTAAATCAGTATTAACGGTCGTAATTAATAATCAAGAAGACAGTTATTCCGTATTTCTGTGATAAACATTTATACAATATGTTTTCATAGAAGACAAAACAGAAGAAGACACAATTTAGGATTCGAATATTAACAAACACATTTTGCTTTTGTAACTATGTATATGTACTTTATTACAATATTAAGGATTTTCTTTTGAAAAGTGTTGTTCACATTCGAATTTTTATCATTTTTTGAAAAAAAAAAATTCACTCAATAATCCCTTCTTATCTTGAAATGGTAGTCCACTTTTTATTTCAGGTAACTATTTTCTTTACTTATGGAAAACAGATTTCTCTGTTCTTGGCATGCATTATCATTGCCACTGATTGAGTTTGTAATTTAGCTCATCCACGTAGCTTACATATTCTAGCATTACGTTATGTGAAAATGGATGCATTGTTATTATTATTATCTTGGATATGGAATACATTACGAGACAGAGTATATGACTCTGATTGTATTTATAAAATAAAAGTCCAGTAACTTGTAATTGATAGGATATACAAGTAGAACTTCTTCGTTAATAATGAATCCCCATTTAGGAATAAATTTTTCGATATCATAGATCATTTTTTCAAATTTTGTTTAACATTGTATCAAAATGATAATATTGCCTAAACATGTCCAAAGGCTTCTACATTATTCCCTTTTCATCATTCATATGTTCAAACAGTATATATAAATATTCATACTTCATGACATGTTGAATAGTGTGTTTTTACAGTTGTTAAAAATTCTTAATTAAGTCACCAGATAACAAGAATACATGTAAATATATTTATGCAGAGCACACCGTTTGATATACTTAAGAAATGTAGACAAATAATTTACTGTACAGTTGTTAAGCAACTATTTTTAAATTCAATATCAATGTTTTGCAGTCATCGCTGAAAGATGTGACGACACAGGTGATTGTACAGCCACAACATGTGGTGGTGGATCAACACTCCATTGTATTGCTCATCAGTGCACATGTACCACGGCAGCAAGTGGTGATGGAGGTAATGTACCACATTATTTCATATTTGGGCTTTATTTTTCCTGAAAATATTTGCAATGGTAATTAAAAATTGAAAATTATCAAAGTATGTTGATTCATTTTAACGGATGTATTTATATATCTAAGACATATGCTCACTTATTCATATTATTCTTTGTCGTAATTTGTTTTAAAGAAAAACATATGTGCATAAAGAAGTGTCAACTTTGAAAAGTTATCTCCGCAGAGTACATCCTTGTGTATTTTAGTGAATCTAATAATCATTCGGCTCCTTTTTATCACAGCATGCACTGCGGCCAGCGATTGCCATGGACGATGTGATCATGGACGTCAGCACCACTGTATTGATGGCCGATGCAGATGCACTCATTTTTAAAAAAATAAATCTATTTTACCAGTTCATATTAATTTATTTTTATTCGAATATGTCGCATTCATTTCATTCCTCCCTGTAGAAATCATAATAATTATAATATTGAAGAGCTGAAAATTATTCAAATGAGAGTCAAATGAGAAATTATTCCTTCATCGGTATATAATATTTCTGGCATAATCGTGAACATCACTACACCAGAAAGTTTATGAGGCGCCTTCTCATAATGTAATTGTCTCTAGTCCTCGTTCACATATGATGTTTTTGTGTGGTCCTTGTAAGAATTACATCACACTGCCACGTGTCACTGTATCACGCTTACGAAGCCTTAACATAATTCGAACACTTTCCCAGGGAAATTTGTACAATTAGCATTCGTTCTGAAGTCACATCGTTTCGTTATTAAGTCAGGTAGGGGTAGAACAGTTTTTGAACTTCCTAAATTATAAAGAATGGGATTTACAGTTATTTAAAAGACTGAAATTATTGAATTTCCTGTATCTGAAGGGAGAACACCCCCCCCCCCCCCCCGCACCCTTCGGATGTAGACTCTCAGTTTTTTTTCGTCTTTTTTCAGTATTTTTCTCGGACAAAAATGTGATCTAATCAATATCATCGACACCAAAAATAAACATTTTATAAAAACATATATTTGCGATGATTTTCTTTCCTCTTTGACTAACTGAAAAGATGCATTATTTTTACAGAACAATTTCTTGTGTAATAGGCTGATTGAGAAATTAGTCAATATGTTGAAATTCAGATTTCATCAGTAATGACCCAATACGTATATCTGTAATTTCCAGTGCTGGATAGTATCAACCTTTGGATTCAAAGTAATTCATCTATGAAAAAAAGAGATCAGAACTGCAAGGTAATCCTAGACTGGAATTATCTTCCTCTATTCACAAGAACATTCACCTGTGTACTGAGTAGGGAGGACGTAGACACCTTATCAAGGCAATAATGGAATACTGTGACATTGAACAGTCATTCCGATGGTCAAATAGTTTAATTGTTAATTTTCCATAAAAGTATAGTAAATCATACCAATTTGAAACAGATTTTTCAGACTCTATGGTATCTTTTATTTCGAGTTCACTAGGAAATATCTAGTCGTTTAAGAAAAGATGAGAATCATTAATTGATAAAACGTCGTCGATGTAAGGATAATTGAAGATAAAGAACTGACCTGTTGTCGATCTCTTACACCCTGCAAGCGAAACGAATCATGAACGGAACAAAAACCCAGACGCTTGGAATCACAAGAGGTGGAATCAGGTGCCTTGAAGGAGTAAGCATCTGCTGTCGGCGGGTCACACCCTCCGTAAGGCCTCTGTATTGATTAGGTAAATGGAACAACTGGCCATTGAATGAAACTTGTAAGTCAAAATGCGATCCTACAATCCGTTTTATTTGCGAATACAGTCATCATATCGATCATAGAATTTGTAAAATGTTGACTTTAATCGAGTTAGTTAAAATCCCTGAAACGTCTCACATTTTTCAGTATGCTGTTTCGGTTTAAAAATTGATTGTACTCAGAACAAGCTCTTGCATATCGAATCAGCTTGGAGACATAAACATCAACTGTGTAACTCTGTAAATAAACAATCACAAGATACGCAAATTTCATGACATTCTTCTTAAAGATGTCAAAGGCCTTGTCTTTGTCGTGGTCAATGGCTATATAATTTGTAGAAAAGTCATACGTTTTGATGCTATTGATTTTGAAAAAAAAATTCTAAAAGTTGCTCGACGTTTTGGAAAATCCACATTTGAATTACTTCCACTGACTGGGATGCTAAAAGTATTTCAACCTAAAATATCAATTTGAAAAATTTTATCTTTTGAATGGAAACTGAGAGTATTAATCGGATTACAAGAAAAGGAATTTACATAAGCTTTCTTTCTAAAATGTTATTGTTTTAATGAGCCTTGCAAATAAAGATCACCTTGCAAGATTTATCAGCTTGAACCTTGGCATAATATTCAAGTAATCTTTCTGATCAAGTCCTGTCTGCTAAAGATAGACGGATAAAAAGTATGCATTTTTCCCTTTTATTGTAAAACACGAGATTTCTGTATCTGTACATCTGAAACGCTTTATCCATTCTAACAAAGTGCCAAGGTCTCACTACTGGACTTATTATCCCCTGATATTCTGATTTTTCTCTGAAAATCTCTGTCAGCCTTTGTACTTTCACTGTACATTACTGTACTTACCTCTGTACTTCACGGTACATAACAGTACAACTCTGTACAGAGGCACAGCATTTCACAGCACCTCCCTGTACTTCACAGTACACTTCCTCTGTACATCACAGTACCCCACAATACTCCATAGTACGCAGCCACTGCTTACCACTGTACGTCACAGATATTAGCTGTACAGATAACTGATCTTCACAGTACATTGCTGTTATTCCCTGAACCCTCATACTGTACATCACAGTACATCAAAACATTCTACAGTTTATTCAGTATATACCAATGTACAACCAATTTTACTCTGTCCTACCCTGAAAAGCTTTGTATCCTAGGAAATTTATTTAATATTTAAAAAAAAAATCTTATTTTATTTCATGTTATTTCATGGTTGCTTTTGAATACATGTATTTCTGAGAGATTAATTTTCAAAATGGATAGAGCGCCCTTGATTCTAGATATAACTGAAAATGGTGTATTTAAATGTTCTATTTTCTTTTTTTTTAAATCCTTTTGTCCAAGTATTTTAAATGAGTTTCCATTTAACATCTGAGAAATGAGTAAACGGACATTTTAAAGAGTTAGAGTTTTACAATTCTTTTTAATTTATAGTTAATTAATTATATTAATCTTTTCTCCACATAGTATTATATGTTTTTAATTCTACATAATTGTGTACACTGAAAAGCTGATTAAAGTCAATGTTATGATTTAGATTTCTGATTTTCAATTAATTCAACTTTTCATTTTCCTTGAATTATCTTATATGTACAGTGTACATCTACTGATAATTTTCTCCTTATATTCATTATGAAAACAACTAGAATTAGTTAATCCCTAATCGCCGTCAAACGTACTGATACCCCCCCCCCCCATTTTTCTCGACAAACTGAGAGAAAATATTGAAAATGTACCGTCTTTACTGCAATACGTCGATAATTATTGACCATAAGTTATATTGCAGGTATTGAACTCCAGAACAGTGCTGATTATCTTGGTTTGTGATGATAAACGTAATAAAAATATATAAATAATTTTTTTATTAACATAATTCCCGACTAATTCGATATAAAGTATTAATCTTGCGAATCAAGTTTTAACTTAAGTGAATGTATGGAACTGTTGCTTTTTATCTCTTTCCAAGTTCAATCTTAAAATCAATAAATACAGGCCCGTAGGTAGCAATTTCACATTGAGGGGGCACAACCATACATTTTCAGTTGGGGAGGGTGCACTATGAACTACCAAAATTCCTTGACAAGCTAAAAAAGGTCATCAGACATTATTATTGAGTGGGCACAAGCATGTAGCAGCTATGTTTTCTATAGAATTGTATATATTATTATTGGGGGACCCCCCCCCCCCCGGTTCCTACGGCCATGTAATAAATTTAATTCAAGAATTAATGATCATTTTATTCTATTCAATACAACGGGTACGTATATCCGTATGCATGTAGCTTGCTTTATTTCCTTTTACCATTGATTAGAAAAAACATGTTTTTAAATATTTCTCAACAAGACAAGCGCCTCTGAATTTTTTTCTCTATGTACAATTTTTTTTAATGTAAAATTATGAAGACTTGGTTTAAAATTAAGGAGTAATTGTACATGTAATTCAAAATATCCCCGCTTTTAAGGATTTCTGGTATCCTCAGACAGATTTCTGAAATGGGTAGGAATAATGAACGTATGATGTTACTTTGTTACAGCTGATGTGGAAACACACCTCCCGCCAACCCCATTTCCACCCCCACGCTTTACGAAAAAACACTAGACACTTGGTATCAATACTTCATAATAAACGAGGTCCTTACTAAACTTCCAGTGAATTTTTAAATACTATATCAAACAATTGTGTCCTAATAAGGCTCTAAACCATTACATATAAGAAAACCTTTAAACGCTCAAAATATGAATAGAATTCCCCGAATTACATAAAACCCCTAAATATCTGGTATGCATCAAAGGGATCCGATTTCATGTGTCGTTTTACTTTAAATTTCTTTGACCACTTGGCACAAACGTATTCGTCATAACGTTTTGTCTCAATTTAATATCTCAATTACTGGCCCAAACGATAATCAGCGCAAAGTTTTACCGTAATCTCTCTTTCTCTCTCTCTCTCTCTCTCTCTCTCTCATATACATATAATGAGAGAGGCTGTGAAATCAATGTAAAAATAAAGTTTTATATGTATATACAGTGCGTATAATTCCGACTGAAATTTGATTTTTTTTTTTTTTATTTCTTCTGAACTTTTTGCATATAATTTATTTTCAAACTATGAATTTATTGAAATATTTTAATGATAATTGCAAGTTCACACAATGTACCCCATGAACATAAGAACAAGGTGTGTATTTAAACTATACTCATGAAAAAAAGACTTAATTAGACTCTGTTACAACACCCTTTTTGTTGCTTCATATTGCCCACCCAAACTAAAATTGTATGAACATGCCCTGTCAAACCAAGGACACAGGTCTTTCGCGGGACTGCACTTGTTTTGTTTTATTAAAGTTTATATCCACACTTAAAGTTCGTTTTCTTTTATATGTTTACAGATCTATAATTAATGTAGTTCAGACGACATCACAATAACTTATTATTGCGCGATCTGTCACTTTTCAGTCCCGTAAAATGCGCATCGCACACTACATCGATCTACCAGAAAAGGGGGGGGGGCTGCTAAAATAATTTTCTTTTTTCCCTTAAATGAGTTTCACATTATCAGAGATGATTTGTTTTTATATATTTATCTATTGTGAAGGAAAGTGATAGATTATAAATATTTCAATTGATAATGTGTTCAATGGC